CGCGCGGGGGGGGGCGCTGAGGCTCCGACCCGGGGATCGGCTCTAATGGGAGATCTTCACGGGGTTTCCAGGTGGCCATCAAACACGTGGAGAAGGACCGGATCTCCGACTGGGGGGAGCTGGTGAGTTTACCCCTAGAGGGGATCGACCCCAGGAATGGGGGTGTGGGGCGCGGTCCCGAGCCCCGCGCTGACTGCACCCCCACCCCCCACCCCGTCGTCCCCGCAGCCCAATGGCACCCGCGTGCCCATGGAGGTGGTCCTGCTGAAGAAGGTGAGCTCGGGCTTCCCCGGCGTCATCCGGCTCCTGGACTGGTTCGAGAGACCCAACAGTTTCGTCCTGATCCTGGAGAGACCCGAGCCCGTGCAAGATCTCTTCGACTTCATCACCGAGAGGGGGGCCCTGCACGAAGAGCTGGCCCGCAGCTTCTTCTGGCAGGTGCTGGAGGCCGTGCGACACTGCCACAACTGCGGGGTGCTCCACCGGGACATCAAGGACGAGAACATCCTCATCGACCTCAATCGCGGCGAGCTCAAGCTCATCGACTTCGGATCGGGGGCGCTGCTCAAGGACACGGTCTACACGGACTTCGATGGTGAGCCAGACCCGGGAGGGTGCTTGCCCAGGGGTCACGTTCGAGCCCCGAGGCCTCGGCTGGCCCTTTGTAAAGGTCATTGGGCCTCCTGGCTCTTTCCTGTTCACCGGGGTGGGTCAGAGGAAAGCCTCCAGCCTTAGTAGTAAAGCCGAGAGGATTTCAAGCCAGTTGAACCTGTAATGTTTCTAGCACGAGTGTGTGTGTCTGTGTCTGTGTGTGTGGAATCCAGTGGGTTCCAAGCTTTCCCGATGAATAAGAGGTTGTGGGCAAGGGCCATAGCCCAGATTTCCCATCTGACCCAGTTTCCCCCCCCCACACACACCAGTACAAGGATGGGGGTGGAGAGATGGAAATTGATGCATGGTTTTGTAATTTTTGTTTTGTTTTGTAAGGGAGGTTTTTTTTTGGGGGGGGGTAAGATAGGCCTTGCTCTGCAGTTTGCTTCCCTTTGATCTGGGGAGGGTAAAGAATAGCAACAGTTTCACTATTTTTTTTTTCCCCTTCTTTAGTGTTGGGTGAGGGCGTCAAGAATAAATGTTGTGAAATAAGATCTGTTGCTGGTTTGAAAATGAGTTGGGAGCCTCCGGGGAGGATGAAAACCTATCTCAGGGAGGGGCTTAGCTGCTTCTTTTGGAAAAAGAAGGGTCTGAGACTTCGATCAAAGCGAAGGAGAGTGGGTCATCCTGAGTGGCTTAGCCTAATCAAGGACAGCCTCTCAGAACTTGTGACTCGGGCTTGTGGTTTGTGTTTATTTGCCCTTGGAGGACGCTGGGTTGGGCTGCATTTTTTTGTATTTAACAGTTAATGGCAGGTCGGGTCCTCCCATGTTTTTTTTTTTCCCTTGCAAGTCTTTGCTGCCCCCTGGTGAGCACCATGGGGATGACCCCCCCTTTTTTTTTTACAACCCAAAGTTTGTAAACAGGAATCACGTGGTCTGAAACCAGCCTTGCGGCTCTGTCGACCTTTCCAGTCTGGGGAGGAAAATGTGGGTGTCTGGCCCAGCTCTCCCAAAGGGCAGGGCACCCTGACTTGTTGTTGGGCCGGGATCCTTGCCTGGTGTGGGCAGAGCATGGGGATAGTCCTGGGATGTTCCTGCCTCCGAGGGTGGTCCTAGCCAATATGGCCTCAGACTTTGGTCTGTAACTGTCCCTGTTAGTCTCTTGGAGCATTTTATAAAGAAGTTCAGGGTTTGGGTGGAGTGGGGGGGGTAAGGCTTTCAGTTGGAGAGTTGCCATAAACTGCTCCTTCACTTTCCTTTTAGCCCTAGAGGCAAGAATGGAGTCCGCCCAATTCTTGAGAGAAAGGTGGTGCTTTATTTGTTAAGGAAGAATTATTCTATCCAGTTCCTTTTTTTTTTAAGTGAAAATTCATGTTTTGGAGTGCCTTTGCATAGTTTGTCTATCTCCTTTTATCTTTAGAAGAACCTTGTATTATGAACTATTCTTAGTTGGCATATATTAGTTGAACAAAGGGGTTCTATTGTGGTACTTCCTTGTGTGTACGCCGGGCTGTTTATTTTTGCTAAGGTGTGCTTTCTCCTATTCCCGGGGCTCACAGGGACCCGTGTGTATAGTCCTCCAGAGTGGATCCGCTACCATCGCTACCACGGCAGGTCGGCAGCAGTCTGGTCCCTGGGGATCCTGCTGTACGACATGGTGTGCGGGGATATTCCTTTCGAGCATGATGAGGAGATCGTCAGGGGACAAGTATTCTTCAGGCAGAGGGTCTCTTCAGGTAATTTCTGGAAAGCTCCTTGTTACAGACATCAAAAATTCTTAGGGCTGTTTGCTAATCCTTGCTGCCCAATCTGAGGTACTTCTCTCCAGGAATGGCCAGGACCCTTGGTGTTTAACAAAATTGCAGGCCAGTAATTTATACCTTGAGATCTGTTCCCGTGTCATATACATCCAGCTTCCTTTGGGAGGTCAGAAGGAGAGCATATTAAAGAAAATACAAGCTGGGCTGGGAAGGTGGCTCAGTGGTAGAGTGCTTGCCTTGAATGCTCAAGGCCCTGGGTTCGATTCCTTAGCACCACATAAGCAGAAAAAAGCTGGAAGTGGCGCTGTGGCTCCAGCGGTAGAGCACTAGATTGAGCTGAAGAGCGCCCAGGCCCAGAGTTCAGGCACCATGACCAACCAAAAAAAGAAAGAAAGAAAACACAAGCTAACTAGATTGAAAAGCTGGGGTATTTTAAGACAGGGTCTTGCTGTGTAACCCAGTTTGGCCTCAAACTCTGTCATCCCCTACCTTTCCCTCTAGAGGTCATACATCACACCTGGCTCTGTGTTTTTGTTTAGGTGGGAACTGGAGTGTTCTGCAGGCTTAGACACTCTACCAATGAGCTACACCTCCCAAGCTCTGAAAAGTTCTTTTGTTGTTGTTGTTTTTGCCTCCATGCAGGGCTGGGGACAATCATTAGTTTAAAAAAAAAAATGCCAGCAGAGATCTGGCCCCCTGCATATTTGCAGGGAGGGAAGAAAAAAAAAAAAGGTCCAGGGCTCTTTTAGCCCTTGATAAATATTGTGGTCCTGGTGACCTCATCCTGGGTGGTGGTGGTGTTTGTAAGTTAGTAGCTAAATTGAATCACCTCATCATGCTTAGCGATGTCTCATCAAAATCCCTTGTCATCATCATTCTTCCTATTTCTGGTGAGTGGGTGTTGTGGGAAAGGCCCAAGCTATTGAAGTTTGTAAACCACAGGTTTAAGAGGGGAGGTACATTTTCTACTGAAACTAGACTGCAAGATCTAGGTATTTGTTCTTTTTCATTGACGAGGCCTCCCCCCTGCACAGTGTTCCGCCTGGTCTATGCCTTCTTAAGGCTCCAAGGCTTGTGGCCACCCTCCCCTTCCCCCAGGAAGCAAATTGGGAAGAGCTTTGCCACGTAAAAACAAGTTGACTCATTCATAACCTCTGTCTGTCTTGCTCTCTGTAGAATGTCAGCATCTCATTAGATGGTGCTTGGCCCTGAGACCATCAGATCGTCCATCCTTCGAAGAAATCCAGAACCATCCGTGGATGCAAGATGTCCTCCTGCCCCAGGAAACTGCTGAGATTCATCTCCACAGCCTGTCTCCGGGGACCAGCAAATAGCAGCCTTTCTGGCAGGTCTTTCCCTCCCGGTCAGATGCTCCAAGGAGGGGAAGCTTCTGTCCCAATGACCAGTGACACTTCCCGCCAAGCAGGACAGTGCTTGATACAGGAACAACATTTACAACTCATTCCAGACCCCAGGCCCCTGGAGGCGGCCTCCCAGGAGGGGGGATGAGACTCCAGGCGTCCTAGGCCTCAACTCCTCCCGTAGATGTTCTCTCCTTCTCATGGGTGCCCAGCTCGGCTGGGCTTTTGCAAGATCCCGGGGGTGGGGGGTGGGGGTGGGGTCTGTCCCCTTCATCACGAGCTCTGCCGCGATGGGTCGAGTAGGGGGAACCGGACTGGGGTGGGATAAGACTTATCACCATTTCAAGTCCCTGTCACCTCTTCTGAGTGCCTTCGTGTAGGGACTCCGGCTGTGCTGGGAGAAATACTTGAACTTGCCTCTTTTACCTGCTGCTTCTCCAAAAATCTGCCTGGGTTTGGTTCCCTAATCTTCGCTCCTGTGCCCTTCACTCTCTTCCCTCCTCTCTCCCCCTCCCCCCCAATGAAAGGTGCCATGGAAGAGGCTAGAGGGCCAATTGCTGAGCCACCTGCCCTTTTTCTGCCTCCTTTAGTAAAACTCCCCAGTGAACTGGTCTTCCTTTTTGGTTTTTACTTAACTGTTTCCAAGCCAAGACCTCACACACACCAAATGCAGAAGCAATGCAACACAACAGACCAGCTGTAAATGTGTGTATAGTTGGCATGCTAGTATACAAAAGGATTGTAGTTGATCTAATTTTTTTTTTAAATTTTGCCTTTAAGTTATTTTACCAGTCTCTTTTTTTTTTTTTTTTTGGAAAGATGCGCATTCTAACCTGGAGGTCAATGTTAATGTATTTATTTATTTATTTATTTGGTTCCCTTCTTGCTCCATGTTCTCCACGGCTCCTGCCTTAGGGTTTTTTTTTTGTGTGTGTTGCTGTTGTTTGGTTTTTTTTTCTTCTTTCTTTCCTCCTCTGACTATGGGACCTTTTGGGGAGGGTTGCATCGCTTGCTCTGTTTGTGGGGGTGACGGGACTCAGGCGGGACAGCTGCTACAGCTCCCTGACTTTGTGGGGCCCCCTCTCCTACTTACCCAAGTGTGTGTGGGCTCCGTGGGTTCGGGAGGCGGGGCATTGCTGACTTGTGTATATAGGATAAATATATGAAAAGCAGTTCTGGATGGTGTGCCTTCCAGATCCTCTCTGGGGCTGTGTTTGAGCAGCGTGTAGCCTGCTGGTTTATCTGAGTGAAATACTGTACAGGGGAATTCAAGAGATCTTATTTTTTTTTTTTTATACCTGGCGTTTTTTGAATAAAAATCTTTTGTCTTAACTTGTGGTTTCTAATTGCTGTTAGACATGAAGAGGCTTGCCCACACATGCATTTGGTAGGCACTGGTGAACTGGTCACTTTGGGCACTTTCCATTAAGTATTGTGTGGATAAGATTTGGCATGAAAGCCAGGCACCAGTGGCTCACGCCTGTAATCCTAGCTACTCAGGAGGCTGAGATCTGAGGATCACAGTTCAAAGCCAGCCTGGGCAGGAAAAGCCATGAGACTCTTATCTCCAATAAATCACTCAGAAAACCAGAAGTGGTGCTGTGGCTCAAGTGGTAGAGTGTTCGCCTTGAGCTGAAGAGCTGAGGGACAGCACCTAGGCTCAGAGTTCAACAACAACAAAAAAAATGGTTGGATTCAAGTGTTCACCATTTGTGGCTGGTGGTTCCCTAGCCTCGGCTGTTTCTCCTATAGTCAGTAAGTTCTATTGGGCAGAGCTGACCTAGACATAACATCCCAATTCGCCAGTTAACAATAGAAAGTTTTTTTTGTTTTTTTCAGTTACGTCTTTCACTAGTAAAACATTTACAAGCCAGTATATTAGTGTGCAGTTTAGTCTCAGCTACTTGAGGCTGTAACAGGAAGTCATCACTTGATCCTAGAACCAGAACCAGTGTGAATATTTTGGGCCCAGACCTCGATGCAAGTTAGGGAGCTGAGAGTTCTGCATTACTCATTGTTAATGCATTTGTTTTGTTGAGTTTGGGGTCTGGGTAGCTTTTTTTTTTGCTCAAAGCTGGGTCTCGACCACTGGAGCTGAAGCTCTACTTCCCTCTTTCATAGTTAGAGATAAGAGTCTGGCAAGCGCCAGTGGCTCACGCCTGTAATCCTAGCTACTCAGGCTGAGATCTGAGGATCACAGTTCAAAGCCAGCCTGGGCAGGAAAGTCCTGTGAGACTCTTCAATAAACCACCAGAAAACTGGAAGTGGTGGCTGTGGCTGAAGTGGTAGAGCGCTAGCCTTGAGCTGAAGAGCTGAGGGACAGCGCCCAGGCCCAGAGTTCAGGCCCACAACAAAAAAGAGTCACAGGCTTTGCTATCTGGGCTGGCTTTGAACCTCAGTCTTCAGAATTGAGCTCGGATTTCCAGTGCGTGCCACCAGCCCCCCCCTCTCCCCCCAGTAATGTATGGAACAGGCTTATTGTCTATTTGTGAGTTACCTCAAACAACGCAAGAACCCTTGAGTGCACTTGGCACAGAGCGGGACTAAGGTTTGAATTCAGGGCCTTGTGCTGGCAAGGCCATGGCAGCAGCACGGAGCCTTGCCTGCAGCCCTGTTTGTCACTAACGATAGGTAAGGTGGGGTCTTATTCCAGGCCCAGGACTACAACTGAACTGCCATCCACCTACTTTGCAGGCTTCCATTGTCCCAGGGATCACAGGCTAGTGCCCATGTGTCTAGTTTCTGGGTGTGGAGAATCACAGAAGCTTTCCTGCCTGGGCTGGTCGGGGAACCATGACCTCCAGTTCTCAGCCTCTAGTTAGAGCTACAGGTGTATGTCACCAACACCCAGGATGTCCTGGTATGAAAACACAGGAGCTGGGCCACTATTCTGTATACAGTATTAACTATTAGTAAATATTCTTTTCTTTTTGCCAGTCTTTGGGCTTGAAGTCAGGGCCTGGGCACTGTCTCTGGCTAGCACTCTACCACTTGAGCCACAGTGCCACTTCTGGCTTTTTCTGTGTATATGGTACTGAGGAATGGAACCCAGGGCTTCATGCATGCTAGGCAAGCACTCTACCACTGAGCCACGTTCCCAGTCCATGTTATTTTCTTGTTTATAATGATCAGTTCCTTCCCATGGGTCAGCCACTGTGTTCCTTCTGAGCATCTATCCCCCACTTTAGACCTAGGCCCATGCACTCTTGAAGGGTTGAGGATCCAAACCATAATATCTTTCTTGTCTGCCCTTCAACTTGGACTAGGTCCCAAACCCCAGCTCAGCTCCTATGTGGCTGTGGCTGCAGTGAAGGTTATCTCTCTTCTGGGGGGAGAGGGGGCGCGGGGATGGTTTGCTAAGGTTCCCCTTTTCTCTACCACATCTTCCTACCTCTCCCCTCATCCTTTTCCCGCAACACACGCATACATTCATTGTACCAACTTCATGGAGTCTTGGACGCCCCATCCCTTCCAGTAAAGTTACACTTGAACAATTACAAGTTGCTCAGAATTCTACTGAAATCGGGTAGAGCCTCACCCTTCCCATTCTTGAAGTGAGTTCTCAGTGGTTTCTCAATCCATCCAGACTGCCAGGAGTGCTGGGAGAAACTCAAGATTATACTTCTGCTAGATGGAAGATACTAGGAGCGGTAGGAGGCCCAAGTTCACATTTAGTCTCTTGTCATGGGCTCAAATTCTGCCACCGTCTGCTATGTTCCAGGAGCAACTTCTGCTCTGAGGCTCCTCATTGGCTGGCTGGTTAGGAAGCTCGCATTAAGTAACTGCGAGCACATGCTGGCTAGTGCTCTATCCCACTTCACAGACACCTGTGTATCCCTGGGAAGCCGTGCTGGGTGATAGTGGTTCTAGGGGCCTGCTGGTGGTTCTCACTGCGATGTTGGACGGGTTTCTATGGGGGGCCCTTTAGCTAGTTTGATCATGCTTCCTTTCATAAGCTATGTGGTGAAGATTAAGGTGCTTATAGTACTTGCATTTTTTTTTTTAATTGTGACAGTCCTGGGGCTTGAACTCAGGGCCTCACCCTCTAGCTTTTTGGTGTTTAATTAGGGATAAGAGTCTCATGGACTTTCCTGCCTGGGATGGCTTTGAACAGTGATCCTCAGATCTCAGCCTCCAGAGTAGTTAGGATTACAGGCGTAAGCCACCAGCGCCCCACTTGACTGGGTCTAATAGAACACATTTTTGTACAGACTGCAAGCTCAGTCTTTTTTCCTCTTTTGAAAAAAATACTTATTTTTAATGATACTGGGGTTTAGAACTCAGGGCCTTGTACTAGCCAGACAAGTGCTCTATTACCTGAACCACACCCCTAGTCCTCGGTTTTACATGTTGAAGAGTAAGATGTAATGAGAGTAGTATTTGATGATGTGAAATTCAGATGAAATGCAACTGTTAATCACATGAATTAAGCTCCCCTGATTCCATATGGCCCCATGGTTGCTTTTAAGCAACCCTGGCAGAGACAAGTTGGAAAGTCAGACCAGATGCACCTTGGAGGCCCAAAAATGGTCCTTTTGGGGCTGGGAATGTGGCTTAGTGGTAGAGTGCTTGCCTAGCATGCATGAAGCCCTGGGTTCCATTCCTCAATACCATATACACAGAACAAGCCGGAAGTGGTGCTGTGGCTCAAGTGGTAGAGTGCTAGTCTTGAGCAAAAGAAGCTCAGGGACAGCATACAGGCCCTGAGTTCAAGCCCCGGGACTGGCAAAAATAAGAAAATAAAAGTCCTTTTAAAAAAAGGTTTGTTCACTCCTGCAGATCCATAACCCATCCATTGTCGTCCACAGTACTTAACCTAGTGTAAACACATAGTAGGTCCTTACCGAGAAGAACTGATCCTGCCATTAGTCTTCATGCTTTGCATGAATTTACTTATCCTTGCCACAGCTTTCCTTGAGGTGGGCGCTATTATTTCTCCTGATGGTACAGATGAGAGAAACTGAATCTGCACCCACAGCTCTGCTATACTGACATTTACTTATTTGTTAACTTTAACAGGGTCGAGTATCAATCTCAGGCCTTTGCACATGCTACTACTGTGTTGACACTCAAGACACTTGTGTGGATTTGTTTCTAGGATCTGTAGTTGGGTAAGTTCTATGCAAATACTCCTGATGGCCACCTGCCTGCCACCTGTCACTTAGGCCTAGGAGGGGACAAGAGTCGAAGGCGGGAAAGGGAGGGGAAAAGGAACCAGGGGTGGGTGGGTGGAGCAGGGGCCCATTTCTTGTAAATGTTGCTCAGCTTCTTTAACTGCTGTGTTGATTCTTGGAAACCCTTACCACAAGGACCTATCTAGAACAGTGTTAGAGCAGATGTGGGTTCACCGCCCCCCCCTTCATTTCCGGCTCAGCCTTGCGCTACTAACCCCGATTGCCAAGAGCAAAGTTGCAGTGACCCCCGCCCGCCCCCACCATCGCTGTGGGAGGAAGTGCAAAAATAAGCAGAGCTAGGGGCAAACCCTAAGAACTTCATTTATTTTTATTTGTTACAACAGGACATCCCGAGCCACAGAATTGGCTTCATCATGACCCCAGAACCATGACATGTGCTCATCACTAATCAGGCATGGCTGTTATGGTAACGTTTTGTTATAGTGGTTATTGAGCCCACAACCAGTACAAGAAATAGTATGCTGTGAAGGAAGCCTGACTTAAGTGGTAGAGTACCACCCCAGCAAGTATGAGGCCCTGAGTTCAAACCTCAGTACTGCTGAGAGAGAGAGAGGAGAAAAGGGAGAAAAGCAAGAAGGAAGAAGAAAAGAAAAGAAAGAAGCAAGCAAAGAAGAAAGCATCTGCTTTTTTTTTCTTTTTGCCAGTCCCGGGGCTTGAACTCAGGGCCTGGACACTATCCCTGAGCTCATTTGCTCAAGGCTACTGCTCTACCACTTGAGCCACAGCACCCACTTCCAGCTTTTGAGTAGTTAATTGGAGATAAGAGTCTCAGGGAGATTTTTCTGCCCTGGCTGGCTTCGAACCTCGATTCTCGATCCTTACATCTGAGCCTCCTTGAGTAGCTAGGATTATGGTTGTGAGCCACCTGTGCCCAGAAAAATCATCTACTTCTGATCCTCATCCTTGTTCATCCCTTACCTCTCCCAGATCTAACCTGCTGACCTGAATTTTGTGTTTAGCATTCTACTTAAAAACAAGTTTTGCTGGGTGCTGGTGGCTCACACCTATAATACTAGCTACTCAGGAGGCTGAGATCTGAGGATCGAGGTTCAAAGGCAGCCCTGGGAAGGAAAGTCCATGAGACTCTTATCTCCAATTAACTACCAGAAAACTGGAAGTGGAGCTGTGGCTCAAGTG